TATATTGATAGATTTACAGATCAATAGATAGATTGATAGCTTTACCTGCAGATGACTCGCTGCCCCGATGACGTCCTGAACAATCTGCAGACTGAGGCCGAGGCGGGATGTGTACGCAAAGTCAAGAACGTGCTGCAGCCCAAGTGTTGACTGATAGATTGATTGATAGACTGATTGATGTATTGACAGATAGATTGACTGATAGACAGACTAACCTGTAGATGACTGGCAGCTCCGATGACATCCTGTACAATCTGCAGACTGAGGCCGAGGCGAGACGTGTACGCGAAGTCAAGAACGTGCTGCAGCCCGTTGGCGGACACGCCCTTGAGTTCGACATGAGTCTCGCTGGACTCGCGCATCCCACTGGTGAACATGGCCTTGAAATAGTCACTACACGAGGCCAGAACTGCGCGATGCGCCTGGATGGGGTAAATGAATGCATGGATGGTATTGGTAGTCCTAGGAAAAAAAATGTTATGTTTCCTGTTTCAGTCCTGAAAAAAAATCAGATGGTCTAGGGATTATCTTGTTTTTTTTAAAGACTTTGGCGATCTCTAGTTATCCAACTTATACAATATACATGTAGTTTAAGAAATTAAAACTTGCATAAGGACACATTCATTTCCAATATCAATGTTGGAAAACCGATTATACAACATTCCATCACTCAGGTGTCAGAAATTCATGTCCCTTGCAGGGGTCCACCAAAAAAACGCAAGGGTCAGCAGTTTTTTCTTGAGTCGGTCGGGAAATAGGAAACACAACATTTTTTCCCTAGGCCTAATGAATAGAATAATGGTACAATTGTACAATCTGCATTGGTAAAAGAGGAATTGTACTTCACCTGGAAGCCTTGATCATCAGCGACCAGCGTGACGTCACACAGCAGACTGTCGGAGCGGAGTGCGTTCAGTCCCCGGAGTAGACTGTCGCTGTGTTCGTCCGACACGTAAGAACGGGAGTAGTAGTTGTCTGCCATTGCTGAGGAGACCTATCAGGCGCACTGGAGAATCAAACCCACAATCACACATGGCAGACTTCAACCCCTTAAAATGCACCACTTCTACTTCTATACACTCACAGACACACACATGCACACACAGACACACAGATAGATCTGTAATCAATAGCTACTAAGCATTCCTGTGTACCTGAACAATATTGTACAACATGTCTATAGTATATAACACACCTGTGGGGAGGGGGGCATTTAGAACATTATTACATATGTTTACAATTATTTCGATTACTCTTTCAGTGATACCGATACATGCACTTCCTTTATACCTTGATACCTTGATACGTCTTCCAGGAAAGAAGGCCGGGGCCTGTTATGTCCTGATCTCTGCTCACTCGGTTGCGTACCTTCGCTTCTCCCAGTGACTGTCAAGTCTGCTTTTGAACTGATTAACAGTTTCTGCTGCTACTACTTCTTGAGGCAGGGAATTCCAGTTTTTGATTGTTCTGACACTGAACCCCTGCGCCCTAACCCTGGATCTTCCTTTATGTGACAAGTCATACAGCAATGTTAGCTTTAGGGTATGTCTGAGTCAACACACACAGACAGACAGACAGACAACAGGAAAGGAACACATGATTTGCTCTGATTCACAACATTTGATCTGATCATCATTTTTGTGTTTCAACGTTATATTTGGAATGTTACATGTGTGTGCCTTGCTAGTATTCTTCTCAACTCTTGTCTACAATTTTACGATCTTGAAATCACAAACATATTCGAGGAGAAACAGGTAATTTGAAAACCATCGTACGAGTCACACCCACCCAAATATAAAAGCACCTGGCGAAACCTCACCTACCTTTGTTTTGGCAAAAATGGAAGACGCTGTATCCACCAAAGACGGCTCTAGAAGACGCCTTGGAAGGTTTCTTGGCATCCGGATGTCTTGTCTTGGTCCCCGGCTACTCGGAAAATGCCGTGCCAAGTCTCACCTGTTGAGAAAAGGTGTTTTTGTGGGCCGGTAACGTCAAAACTGTTCCTCACCTGGCCATATTCACATATCCTGTACCGCTACACCTACAGGCCAAAGGTCAGCAGCGTGACGTCAGAGTCACGTGGGCAGAAATGTGGAGACAGCTGTGACGCGCCGGATTGAGTACTTAGAATGCTCCATACAAAAAGTCGTTGTACGGTCACGATACGTCAAATGACGGCTGGTTTATGTGTTCCCGTGATGTCAACGAGTCAGACCACCGTGTGTGGGTCAGTTGGAAATTCAAAAATCACTGGAAGACGAGATATGTCCCGTCAAAGTTGACCTTCTAAGTACTCTATTTTGGCGTTGGTTTTCTGTGTCTTGCGGTCTGCATGGGGGTTTTCAGACTACCGCTGTCTAGTCTACTTCCGGGTCAAACCACTCCCCCTAACAGCTGCTAATACGCGTATGTGTGCTTATACTTGGACGGCGATTGCGTTCGATACGGATGTTCTGGCCAGTGTTATAACTAACAGTACGGCCCGGAGTCTCTTTTGTTATCACACATGCTTCCAAATGTTTCATAGAATAACTCGAACGGCCCCCGTTACACAAAAAGTGTAACGGTCGGGTTGGTACGTTGGGCAATACGGCATACACAGCGTAGTAGTACAAGTTGCAATAAGAAATAAAATATATAGTAACTATATATTTTATTTTTTATTGCAAGATAACATGTAAGCCTTACCTCTAATAGTTGTTCTATCAGGATCACTCAGTTTAACCATACTAATTGTTTCTTCGAACTTCACGTTACACCCTATTCACCTATCCATTCTGACCGGGACATATCATTCTTGTTTCTAATGAAACATACCGTAAGTTGTCTTACAGACAATCTGTTTTGCTGTGCGCACGTATGTAAGTTGTAATGTAGTTCATTTTCGTTCACGACAATTTCAGTTATGGGGTAATTGTAACTTTGGACTACATATTTCTTAAATGGAACAATGCTAGAATGTCTACATACATGTAAAAATTGCTTGACAAATAAAGACGGTAGATTTTTCACCTGTGTCACTTGAATGATATAGCCCAGTGAACAAGAGAATTCTCACCTGTGTCATAGGAATGACATAGCCTTGACATGGCAGATATATGTCACCTGAGCCATTGGAATGATATAGCCCTGAACAGCAGAATTTCCACTTGTGTCATAGGAATGACATAGCCGGCAGATATTTTACCTGTGTCACAGGAATGACATAGCCCTTAGACGGCAGATATTTTACCTGTGTCATAGGAATTATATAGCCTTAAGACGGCAGATATTTTACCATGCTGTGTCATAGAAATTATATAGCCTTAAGACGGCAGATATTTTACCGTGTCATAGGAATGACATAGCCCTAAGACGGCAGATATTTTACCTGTGTCATAGGAGTGACATAGCCCTAAGACGGCAGATATTTTTACCTGTGTCATAGGAATGACATAGCCCTAAGACGGCAGATATTTTACCTGTGTCATAGGAATGACATAGCCCTAAGACGGCAGATATGTCATTCCAATAACAATCATGGAAATTCTGTTGTTCAAGGCTATATCATTCCAATGGCACAGGTGAAATACGAATGATATAGCGCCTTAGACAACAGAATTTAAACCTTCTCTTGTAAGTTTAGCTTTGTTGGTAAAAGTCATTATGAAACAAGTTTGAACTGCTATTGCGGTGTCACGGGGTTTGCGGTATATCTTAACTTGCTGGGACCGTCCTCTTTAGATAGAGCAAGTCCGTATCCTGGATGCGCTCT